AAACGAGGGGCCCTGGCGAGCACAGACACAGACGAGGAGGTCACACACACAGCTGAGGCCTGGAGGCCGCGCCAAGGCCAGGCACAGCAGCCGAGCCGCTGGGAACCCCAGGCACGCAGTGCCGCTCGGAGCATCGCCACATCATTACCGCCGCCCGCAGAACTGCACCACCGACCTGGCTTCTCCTGCACCAGCCGGCGGCAACCCCAGGGCTCCCCGCAGAGACAAACACTGCGCACGCGTGGCCTGCAGCCCAGTGTGTTTTCCCGGCCCCTGCTGCGTGGCCAGAGCAGCCGGATGTGGGCTTCAGCAGCCTGGCTCTGCTCGTGAACCACTGCTCCCAAGAAACAACCTTTGCGATTCTGTTTACTCCGAGTTAAATAAAAGTCAACCCGTGGGGTAATGGCCACCACGCTGCGCGGCAGAGCCTGCATGCTTAACCCCCACTCCTGCTGCCCCCAGATTTCTGCAGCCTGTTCCCCTATCTTTAAATGGAACTAATCCAGGCAGGCTGTGCCAGTCTGGCCTGCACCCATCAGCTTGCTGCTAAGAACCCTAACACAGGTACTGGGTGCTCCAAGCTGCTCTGTCCAACCAGTGGTGCTGCTTGGTCTGGACTGAGATGCGTCCTGAGCGTGGGAAACCCTGGGCTTGGGAGGCTGCACAGAGCCTCAGATAAGGTGTCACTCATGATCCTTTACGCTGAGTTCCTGCTGGAATACTGTTTCAGCCCCTTTGTGGATTAACGTTTATCCCGACAGGAGAGGCAGGCTTCTCAAGGCAGGAGCAGGTCCTGCAGGGCTTGATGGGTCACTGTGAAGTGCATCTGGCTTCTGTCTTGCCACGACACTAGCCCTGTTGGGACACAGCCCTGGGTCCCTCACCAGAGGCCAGCAAGATGAGGACACCCAATCTTAGGCTTTCAGCCACCAAACTATGAGCTCAGTAAACCTCTGCTCTTCATAAAGTCCCTCACCTCAGGTGTCCGGTACATGCTGTCCCTGGAGCCTTGTTTCTGGGAAATTGTCTTCCTCTTTCTCAGCCCATGATCCCAGGCACCCACCATGAGGCCCTGGACGTGGCCCAGGACAGCAGGTCAGGGTGACATGCTCAGGGGTGGACCAAGAGGAGGCCAGGCAGGACCCAAGGCCCGCAGGACAGTGCAGTTCACTACCGAGGGGCTTCAGAGCTGGCAGAGCTCCACGCACACAGGGCCGCACCATGTGGCCCCACCAGGCCCCGGACCATTACCCCAGCCACACACAAGGAAGCTGAGCCTCAGAACAGGCCGAGGACTTGCGCAAGGCCACGTGGCTGCACATGGACACACCAGGAAACAAACCTGAAATGCCACCTCTGCCTCCTCCCTTCAGAGTGGCCTTGGAAATAAACTTGAACCGCTGGACATGCCCCTCCTTGAGACTGTGACAATTAAGCTTAACTATCAAACTTGATTGGCCTGGGAACCACCTATGGATCAGTAAGGCACTATGCTTGGTATGTCTGGGTGGCCACGGAGGGGTGGCCTTGGGGTCCATGTCTGGCACCTCACCCCTTCCTCTCCGACTCTGCTACCTGGCTCCCTTGCACCTTCTGCCATGACGGTCCTGCCTTGGAGCAGCTGACCGTGGACTGAATCCCCCCAAACCACAAGCCAAATAAATCTCCCTTCCTTGAAACTGTGGCTGTCGGGTCTGGTGTCTCAGAAACAGGACGGCTGATGGATTTGGGGACCTGCTGTCCCCCAGGAGACCGGGGTCAGTGCCTACCCTTCTTCCTGGCCAGTGTGATGATGTCCGCTGCGCTCTTGCTCATGACCTTGGTGATGTACACGGGGCAGTTGATCCGACCCGCAATGGTGATGGCCCGGAACACAGCCTCAGCCTCCAGCTGGGGACACACCAAGTGCAAAAGTCACAGAAGGCTGGGGGCACAGTCACCACCCACCCCGAGTTCCCGGGACTTTCCCTCAGTCAGGTCTCTGGATGTTCCTTGATTGATTACACATGCTCAGAAGGGAAACCGGCCACATCAGTAGAGGGTTACATTGTAAATTGGAAAGAGAAAGACGTCAAAGTGAGTTTGGTTAGAGGCCTAGGGGACAGGATTATGCTATTAGGCTTGTCTGAAGTTTTCTCCCCAGCCCAGGGGAGAGACTGAGGCAGATCAGGACATCAAGGGCACAGGCAGGGTCCACCCACCCTCTGCTAAGTGACCCTCTGCTCACACAGTTTCACCTCCACTGCCTCTAGGTCAGCTACGTTCAGGGGACCAGGTAACTGAAGGACCAGTTCAGTTTGTTGTGCTCTGTTTGTGATACTGGAGATTGCACGCAGGACCTTCACACTGAGCTATAGCACCAGCCATTCACTTAACTTACTTTTTAAAATTTTGAGACAGGATCTAAATAACTAAATTGCCCAGGCTGGGCTCATACTTGAGACCCTCCTGCCTCAGCCTCTTAGAGTGCTGGAATTACAGGGTATACCAGCACACCTGGCTTTTTTTTTTTTTTTTTTTTTTTTTTTTTTTTTTTTTTTTCTTATCTTTTTTTTTTTTCCTGTTTTTTTTTTTTTTTTTTTTTTTTTTTGCTTCTGTTTTTAATCTCCAATCTGCTGTGGCCCTGCTATGTCATTTCGAAAAACCTGCTCTCTGGAGCGAAGCCATCAGTCACACGCCATGGTGTGACAGCGACACCCACGGGCTCTAGAGCTGATGATCCCTATCCCCAGTCCTCCCCATCTGTCCAGGGCCCAGTTGTCCAGGGGCCCAGCACAGCCCATGAGCCTTGCTCGTGATTGGATAAGAACAAGGAAAAACCTGCCACTCAGGGGTGGCTCTCGGGCAGCACCCACCATGGTACAGCTCAGCACCAGGCCAGCCTGCCTTCCCTCTGCCCCTCTCTTACTCACACACGCTGTCGCCCCCGGGGAATGAACCCATTTTTCACTTCCGGGACACCAGGCAGGGGGACAGTCGCTCTGTTTTCCCATCACCTAAGTCTGTACCAAGTCCGGCACAGACTTCATCCAGTTCGGACACTTGGGGTGCACAGGGTCTCACAGCAAAGCCCCCAGACTCAGATCAAAGCCTCTCACCGGCCTCCCTGACTGACCAGAGCCCCAGGGAAGGAGCCAGGCACGGGCTGTGCTGCTCTGGATGGAAGGGCACTGGGCGGGCACCATGATGTCACAGGCCCGCCGGGATTCTGTACCTCCTCAGGTCTGCTCAGAGCGTGGCCCTCGGGACCTGTGATGCCCATCTCCAAGATCCGCTTCTGTTCCTAGGAGACAGTGACACAGAGCCGGGGTTACAGAATAGCAGAGACAGCAGTCGCTCTTCCAGCCCCGGCTAGGAGAAACGGTGCGGCTGAGGCCAGGCAGGGTCTGTGGGAGGCCTAACCGTGGAGCACAGTTCGAGCCAGGTCCTCCCGCTGCACCTCCACCTCCGCCTGGCCTCCTTCCCCTGCAGCTGAGCTTCCAGCCCGCCCCGTCCACACCCACCCTGCTTTATTTCCATCTCCCAAGAGTGGTGAGCAAGCAGGGAGCCCAGCTGGATGTCCACCAACACTCCCTGGAGGCTGGGTCACCGGCCTTCGGTGTTGAGAGGACCGAAAGGCATGAGTCCTTTCCTTGCCTCAGTGAGTTCTCGCTCAGCAGGGGTCGGTTCGTGCAGGACTGACTGGTTATCAAGCCAGCCTGGCTCCTCCCCAGGCCCTCAAACACTCGCTCTGCTCCACACCTGCTCCCCTCCCTCACTGTGCAGGGAGCAGCATGCAGCCCTCCGGAACCAGGACCCCCAAAACAAACTCCTTTATTTTATAACCAGCCTCAGGTATTTTGTTACAGCAACAGAAAACAGACTGGGACAGAAAGCTGGTGCTGAGAGGCAGATTGGGCCATAGCGATGTCTGAAAATGTGGGTGCGGCTTTGGAGCTGACAATGGGCAGAGACAGGGAGAGCTTAGAGGAAGAGACCAGAAAAAGCCTGGGATGACTCCAACATGCATGAGAGCCGGTGCCAGCACCAGCTCGGGGACAAGAAGACCTGGGAAATGGAATTCCTCAGACCGGCTGGGTGGTGGTGACCAGCATGCTGGGGGATGTGGGGAGGAAAGGCCACTCTGAGATCCCGGGGGGCAACCAGGACCTCTCATCGGCAGACAGTGTCGAAGCCACAGAGACCTTGGTTGAGCCAAGGTTGGGCCCCCGGACTTCACGGAAGACAGATTTAAAAGCAATGAACTAGAATTTCCGGCTAAACAGCAAAAGATGAAAGGAACGGAGTGGCTCCTTTTTACCGCTTATACTGAGATTAAGGAAAGGGGAATTACTTAGAGACAGAATTTATCATTTACAAAGGAAAAGGGGCATGAAAATTTGGAGAAGGTGCAGCCAGGTGGCATGCAGAAGAGCAAGCACGGTGGGCAGGGAGTCCTGCAGTGTGGCCCAGGGTGGGATCTGAAAAGATCGGAGCAGTAGCACAGAGCCAGGTGCTGTGCTGGACCCCTCAGGAGCAGGGCCGAGGGCAGAAAGGGGTCCCTTCTGGGTCCTGCCAGGTCTCAGCTCCATGCACCCAGCCCTGCCTCCGAGGGACCCACTGGAGCTCAGGCCACAGCCCCACAGGGGAGAACACCTGGCAGGGCCCACGTGCTGCCAATGCAGGGGCCCGGGATACACGAGCTACAGCATCTTGGTGGCTTCCACCCGGGTTTCAAAAGTTGTCTGTCATGGCTGGGTCTAGGTGTCCCCTCAAAGCCTCATGCGGTCATCAGGCTTTTCAGAGGTGGCTGAATCTAGAGTGTGTGATGCTGGGATTGAGGGCATACGATTACTAAATCAGTCCACTGGAGCCTGGGATTTAGCTCCGGGGTCCACCACCTGCCTCGCAAGCACAAAGTCCCGAGTTTGATCCCCAGTACCAAAATAAATAAGTAAATAAAGCCACCGATCGGCTTGGCCCCGCCCCTAATCCCAGGAGTCCGGATGAGAGAAAAGAGGCAGAAAGACTAAGGTTCCCTTGTTGCTTTTGCTGTCTTCTGCTGCCACGAGCTGTTGCCCCTCTTCCCTGCCACCCTGCCTTGGAGCCAGCCGATGATGAACTGCAACCTCTACAAACTGAGCTAAATAAACCTTTCCCCCTTTCACTTTCGGTGTCAGATATTTTGTCTCAGCAACAAAAGAAAGTAACTAACACTGTTGCCAACAACTTGCAGGCCCGGGGTTGGGGTGGCCCCTGCCTCAGAAAGCAGCAGCAGCTGACTCTGCTCCCAGACAGCTGCCACAGGGACTGAACCCAGCAAAGCCGTGGGTCAGGGCTGCCAGGGCCTGGGCTCCACCTGAGCCCTGGGGTGTCCAAGGTGACACTTCGTCAGAGGTCAGAGTCCGGCGTCAGGAGCTAACACCTGCCCTGCGGGGCTTCACCCTTGCTTTGGGCAGTTGCCCCTTCCTGTGCAACTGCTGATCCTGAGGGTTGAGCCCAGGGCCTTTCACAGAGTTACATCCTTCAGCCCTTTTTAGTTTTTATTTTGAGACGGGGTCTCAATAAATCACTAAAGCTGGGCTCAGACTTGCAGTCCTCCCACCCAAGCCTTCCGGAGTGCAGGGATTACAGGAGGACACCGCCACATCTGGCCTCTCTTCTGGTTTTCTGCCGTGCACCGAGAGTCCAAGGCCCTCATCAGAAGCTGAACAAACACCAGCACGGTGCTCTTGGGCCTCCAGAACTGTGAGACAAAACAAACCCTTTGTCTTTCCCAATTACATAGACTTGAGTATTCTGTTACAGCAACAGAAAAACAGCAAAGACACAGGGTTCTAGGAAATGAGCTCTAAAACCCACCAGCTGCCCCCCAGCCTCTGAGCCTCCTGCAGGGCCCTCCTTTGGGAAGAAACGTGGCCTTGGGGTATCATGAGGACGCTGAGATCAGGGAAGGCCAGCCCCAGACCCACCCATCTCCATGCTTTCTGGCACGGTGGGCAGGCTCTCTGGGCCTCAGCTTCTCTTCTGTGCACTGGGGTCCGTGTTTGTATCAGCGAAGTGTTGAGTAAGTGGGCAGCCGTGTAAACACTCAGCTTGCTGCCCAGGGCGGGGTGTGCACCATCGAGCCTGTCCCAGCCGGCTGGGTGCCCTCCGCTACTGGCTCCTCCTCTTGGTCTCTGACCTCCCAGCAGGAAACCACCGCTCGGATTTATGCTGTAACCCTGGAACGGTTCCCTGGACGGCCGGCCCAGATCAAACCCACTACTTCCCAAGCTGCCTCCTGGCCCCAGGAATACTTCAGTTTCTTTCTTTTTTTTAATACATCACCCAGATGCCAGCTGTGCCGCTGCTCATTTTAACTCCCCCATTTCTGCTTCACGCCCCTCCTCTCAGACGCATCTGTACCAGGAGCTCCAGCCCTGTCAGCCACGAAGGCATCCTATTTCCGTCTACAGCCCTGAAGTGTGATTATAAGAACGTAAACCAGAGACGGCAAGGTCTAACAGCTCGGGCAGATTTAAGTCAACTAAGGCATAATTTCAGTACTGAAGATGTTTTTCTTGCAAAAGCATCTTTGGATGCTGTTTACAAGGAGATTTGATGGCGCAGAGAAGTCTGTGCTGAATTGGTTCTACGCCGCTTTCTATTTCTGCAGAGAAGGAAGGAAGGGGAGGAAACAGAGGGCAGCCAGGGGAGGAGGGGGTCCTTGCAGCAGAAAACTCAGCAACTCTGCCTGCGAGGCTGCGCGGGGACAGAACTGGCCGAGTGCGGAGAGCTCCACACGTCTGGGTCCTTGGCTGTTGACACGAAAAGGCTTGAGCGGGAGGGAAGTGGACGGGAGGACGGTCAGACCAAAAGGGACCAGGACCCGATGGCTTCGGAAATTCCCAGCCTCTCCAAAGTGAAGGAAAAGGATTCTGAGCTCATCTCAGTCTGGGACACCCGCAAGTCAAGACAAACCTGTTCGCCTTTGAAAGGACTCAGATGCAGGGCACAGGGCAGGGCTTTATGTTCAGCCATGAAAGACCCTTTAAAGACACCACAGGGGTCCCGGGAGTTCCACTGTGCTCCTGGGCTCCCTCCCCAGGCTCTTCTGGAAGAGATCTGTGGTGTCTTTCCCCTAATGAGTGACCCCCAGTGAGGTTCAGGAAGCAGCTGAGAGAATGACTTCAGCGACACACAGGCAGCCTGGGCTGCACGAGCCAAAGGCCAGAGTGAAAGGGGGCCGTCAGACCCCAAGTCCGACCAGGCAGGAAGTGGGTGGAGAGCACCACTAGCTGCTGAAGCCACTTCCTGTCACAAAAACGATGTGGGACTCAGGACAGAGCCAGGAAGACGGCCAAGAGCCCCAGAGGATTAAGAGACCAAGGCCTCGCTCCAGAGTGGCCACCTGACTCCCTCCTACAAATGGCGCTTCTCCCACCTGCCATGCCCGCCTCCTCCATCTCCCCTCTCTGGGGCTGCTCTTCCTGCCCTATGGGAGCTGCTTGCCGGCTGACTCTGTCCTTTCCTCACCCAGGAAGATCAGTGTGTTTCCTCCTGGTCCCACCACAGCTTCCAAAGCCTGTCGGTGTTAGGACACGGAGGACCGTGCCGTCTCTGACCTCGACCCCAGCTCCAGGGGTGGGTGTTTCCGCAGGACAAGCGCTCCTTGGGCTGAAGTCCCTGGGCCCAGGTCACAGGTCCGAGGAGGCCAACCCACTCTCTGCCCTTTCCCTAGGACAACGCAACTTCCGGTGCCGGCCCCGAGTGCCAGGCTGCCGAGGTACCCCTGCCCAGACCTTCGTTTGCCCTCACGTACTCCCTGCCGGGTTCTCAGTCGTCCCAGCCCCAGAAAACTGAGCTCAAGAGCAAAATGGTCCGCAGACACCGCACCCGAGGCAGGGCAAGAGACATGGGGACGCCTGGATGCAAGCTTGGCCCTCACTGCCCGGTCCCCCCTTAGCCAAGACCATGACAACCTCTTCTGTCCCAGCGAGGCAGACCGAAGTGTGGGCGTCCCCACAGCTCACCTGAGCTATCAAGTCTCCATTCTCCGCGTGGACCAAGATCACGGCTCCCAGACTCTTCAGAAAGGTGAAGGCTTCGTACAGCTGAGGAGGGAGACAGACGGTGTGGAGTGAGATCAGAGCTGCAGCAGGCACAGGTCAGTAGGGACTGCTCCTGCCCCTGGCTCGGTCACTGCCAGCCTCTGTAAGCCCAGCAGGGCTGCTCCCATAGGGATGCTGCCTGCCAGACCCCCAGCCTCAGCCTGGCTCCTCCCAGGTCTTCCGGGACCCAGAAGCGCACACAGTTACGACAGCTGGGACCTAGGTCACCGCACAGACCTTTGTGGCTGCAAACACAAGCTCCCATGACCCCAACACTCAGACAGCACGTGCCACACCAGGCCTGTGTCACCGGCCCACAGCGGCCGCCCGCTGCCCTGCGCCTCCTGGAGCTGCAGTGGCTCATCTGCCCTGGTGAGGACCAAAGCCCCGAGCTCCTCCTCCTGGGGCCTCTTGTGTACATCCACGTCCCTGGGACGCCCTCTGGCCCCAAAGCAATGCCCAGTAACGGCCCCCTAACACCTGGTGGCACCTGCTGTGGGCACCTGCAGGAGCAGCTCCTGCTTTCAGTCCTCTGCAAAGCTCCGTAAGACAGGTACTGCTATGAGCTGAAAGGCCCAGAGAGGCTGGAAAAGCAGCCCCAGGCTGCACAGCAAGCAGCAGGCACTGGCAGGAGCACCCATGGCTCCCAGGGCCACTAAGAAGCAGATAGAAAGTGACGAGGGACCCAAGCAGGAGACCCAGAGGTGGGAGAAGGCCAGGGACCCAGTAAATGGCAAGCCCTGGAGAACAGCTCCTAGCCACGTCCTCCCCAGCTCCCTACACCCCATTGCCACTGCTGGGAGCCAGTGGGGCTAGGATTTTACGACTCCTGTGGGGAGGAAAGTGGAGAGGGAAGGGGCTTGCCAGAAATCCCACTCCCTCCTCTGTCATAGCAGAGCCATGGTCCCCAGCTTGGTCTGAGCCCCAGAATCCACAGCAAAGCTCAGCCTTAAGCCCAGGCCAGCACCCACCATTCTCCAGGAGCTGTGCACCACAGGGCATTCTGTGGGGTTGCTGGGGTCCCCTGCCCTGGCCACCAGCCCTGCCGGGTGGAAGGGAGGTGCGGGTCCACCTACCTGGCTATCCGACATTTGGTAGAGGTCCTTATAGGCCATGTAGACTTGGAAGGAATTGATACCTGTGCAAGACGGAGAGAGGGAGAAGAGACCTGTGCTCAGGAGGAACCGAGACAGGCCGTCCCGGGAAGCAGCAATCACAGCGCGTGCAGTGAACACCGTGCGCCCTGCACACGCTCCCCTGGGGTGCAGAGGCCGAGAAGAGCACCGTGGGGCGCCCGCCTGCCTCAGCCCCGGTGTCTGCAGCCACACCCCAGGGCCGGGCCCAGACGCACACTGGGGCGGGAGAAGCAAAGCCCAGTCCCACCCCAGCTCACGGCCTCCAGCAGGACGGCATGGGGGAAACCAAGGCAGCTTAGGATCAGAACAGAGGGTGGGGTGCAGGGATGGTGGGTGAGCAACAGGGAAGGTTTCCTTGTTCCTTTCCTCGGGAAAGGCTCTCAAAAGCAGGGTGAGCAGTCTGGTAATCATGGTGCACGAAGGGGGAGCCACTGGAAGCATGAAAGTCAAATTTATGAAACTAGGGAAACCTTGTGCAGCTGCTGATGGGAATAAAAGTGGTGACTCCACTATGGAAACCAGCGTGGACGTTCCCTCCAAAATTAAAAATAAGTAGAGTCACATAGGATCTATCTGGCAACCTTCCTCCTGGGTATGTATCCAAAGGCAGTGAGATCGGTCTGTCAAAGAGACCTCTGCACTCCATGTTCACTGCGGCACTGTTCACAACAGCCAAGGAGTGGATTCAACCTCAGTGTCTACTCACAGATGACTGGATAAAGAAAATGTGTTACATACACACCACAGAATACTATGCAGCCATAAACAAGGCGATCCTGCCATTTGGAACCACATGGACGAACCTAGAGGACATCAGGCTAACTGAAGTGAACTGGGCACAGACAGACAAATGCCACAGGAGCTCACTGACAGTAGGGATTTAAAAAACTGAGCTTATAGCTGCAGAGAGTAGAACGGTGGCTAGCAGGGGCTGAGGGTGGTGGAGGAGATGGAAAGACGCCGAGAAAAGGACATAGATTTTCAGTCCAAGAGGCAGAATAAATTCTGGAGCTCTGCTGCACACATGGCGACTACAGCTCATGACACCCGTTACACTTGGTCTTAAATGTCCTCCTCACAAGAATGGTAAGAATGAGAGGCAGGAATGCAGCTGCGAAAGACAGTTCTCTCCCCAGATCCAATGGTCTGTGACCCTTCAGGAAGGAGCACAGCGCTGCCAGCACCTTGCTTCTAGCCCTAGAAGACCCCTACTGGGCGTCCGACCGCCAAAGCCGTAAGGTTATAAAATTTGGGGGTTTTGTTACAGCAACAGATGAGGACCAATACTGACCTCCTGCAGGCCCAGCTCTGCCCCAGTGTTTCCTTTCCTCACAGCCCTGACAAGACAGGCTTTGAAAATTTACCAAGAGACAACAGATGGACACAGCTCCTCTTAAGATAGGAAACTGGTGGTCTCATGGGAAGTGAGGTGCACGCTGACACGCGGGACAGTGCAAGGAACGGCTGGTGACAGGGAGGCTTGGCTAGCAGCCAGAGCTGCTCCAAGCACAGGACACGCATCCACCTGTCTGACCTCAAGACAGCCTCTGGCTGGCTTCTCACCCCCTGGAAAAACAGGCACAGAGAGGCCAAGTGTCGGGCCAGCAGGAGCCGGCTACTAAGTGGAGGGGCCAGGCTTCCCGTGATTGTTACTGCACAGCCACAGCACAGAATACGAGGCCCGTCAGGGTTCCGCCGATGGGAGGACTCACACATCCACAGGAAAATGTACACACACCCCACACCTCTGCACATAATGTCTAGTGGTCTAAAAAGATGATAGACGTTTCAATTTTTTAAATTTTATCACAGTAACAGGCAAATCGCCACGAAGGTCCTCCAAAATGCTCCCCGTAAAGTTGAACGCACTCGTCCCATTGTCCCCGGCCTGCTCTGCGGCAGCTCTGGAGGCCCCTTTCCTAAGAGTCTGTAGCTGCGCTGTCGTGGCTGCCTCGATGGCCTGAGCAGATTCAAAACACTCCCCTTCTCTGGCCATTTTGACTTTGGGGAGGAGCCAGGAGTCATGCGGTGCGGATCCGGTGACTGAGGTGGGCGAGGACGCAGCACTGTGTCTCGCAAGCCTGCCCTTCCGCTGCATGGCGCTCGGCGGCAGCAGTCACTGGATTTTAATGCAAAAGGGAGGATCTGAGGGGAGACTAATGGCAATGAGTCTTTTTCTGTAATAATTTTTAAAATTTAAACATCTGCTATATATTTTGATCACATCTCCTAGATAAGTAAGAAAACTAGAAAGTCAAATCCAAATTACCGCTTTTCAGTGTGCCAACACTTCTGTGCTGCTTTGATGAGCTTGTAAAGGCTCTGAAATGTGTCAGTACAGACAGCCGCAATGGAGGCCAGATAGGTAAGCCCCACACCAGCACCCCGCCAGGCCCCAGTCACAGCAAGAAATCAGCCCAGGGCAATGCAGAAATGTCGAGACCCTAACGAGTCTCCCCGCCCAGCAGAGCCTGGCAGCCCCTCTGCCCTGACGGTGACGAAGCCTGCTGTGCTTGCCTCTGCCCTCTCCATTTCCCCCGCTCCTGTCCTCGTGCGTCCTCGGGCTGCTGAACTAACAAGCTGCAGTGCACAGGGTGAGATGCGGACAGCTCAGGACGGAAGGTCAGGCAGGGAAGGCGAGATGCGAAACCGAGAGTCCCCTTGAAGGACGGCGCTGTGAGGTCTCAGCGGGATTCAGCGACCACAGCGGAGGGACAAGGCTTCCAGACAGACAAACAGTAAACTCCACCTGACAGGCGGGCAGAGGTGGCCCTTGGATATTCACAGGAGGAGAAAGACAAGGAATGTGTGCATGGTCAGGAATTAGAGGGCTGCGATGACAAGGACGGAGGATGGCGGCATTTGCTGTGACATCACAGGGACACGAGGGGACACGTGTAGGGCCAGGGATGCTGACCGGGGTCACGCTGACCAGGGGTGCACATCCAGAAACTGACGTCACCACCAACGTCGTGACCCCGGGCAACTCTAAAACCTTCGACTTCAGAAGTCCATTTCTAGAAATCTAAGGAAGTGATCAGAATGCAAACATGCTTATGTACGAAGATGTTCGCCATAACACGAATTATAATAAAACAAATAGAAAACCTAAGTGTCCAATGAAAAGAAACCAGCTAAACAAATTTGCCATTACATTTTATGTTATGAGGCATCAAAAAGTTACTGATGAAGAGTAATGTTACACATGAAGCAGTCAGTGAGAAAAGAAAGATTCCAGGGAGTAGCTATCATCCGGCTACATAAGGAAAAATCATTGAGAGAGACAGAACAAAGGCAATAATTCTTCACACATCATGGAAAACTGGGATTGGAGCTCAAATCTGAGGAAAGATATTTTCCTTCTCTTGATTTTCTGACTCTCTGTATATTAGAAGTGGTGACAGTTTTATTTCTTTTTCTTTTTTTTTGGTACCAGGGATCAAACTCTGAACCTTGCACTTGCAAGGCAGGTGGCAGTACCACTGAGCTAAATCCCCGGCAATGATGACATTCTTTATAACAAAAAAACACGGCATATGTATGTGCAAAATCTAAAGCCCAGGCCAGCCATGGCGGTACACACCCACAATCCCAGGACTTCAGGAGACTAAGTCGGGAGAATCATTCACGTGAGATCGCTTGGGCAACTTAATGAGTTGGAAAGGCCCTCTCTCAAGTAAAAGTAAAATGCTGGGACACAGCACAGGGCCATGCCCCATATCCTATTCCCCATTAAGGAAAAAAAAAATGAGCACCGCCCTGGCTCCCCTCAAATCCGTCCCCGAGCAGAGAGCCCAGGGCCGCCCGACAGGATGAGCCACTTTTAGCCTGACTCCTCCTATCCTGCCGATCCAGGTCCCTCTCCCAGCCAGGCAAGGCGTCTGCACGGGGCAGGGCCCCCGGTGTGAGGCTGCGCAGAGGAGAGTCACGGGGACACAGGTGCGCGAGCACATACATCCCTCCCAGAGCACAGGCTTTAAAGGAGGAGCCAGATGGACAACAGATGTCCTGTAATCCAAGACAGTGACAAAGGTGTCCCCAAAGAGGGCCCAGGGACTGGCTCCGGACACTGAAGGAAGACAGTGGTTTTGAGGGGACAGTCGGGAGGTGGTCACAGAGCTGGGTCTTGAAGGTGAGCAGCACTTAACAGCAGAGAGAAAGGACACTCCTAGCAGGGGGCAGCCTGACAAAGGGCCCGCAGAGTCACAGTGGCCAGGGTGGCAGCCAGGACACCAGGACAGGTTATGGTAGACAAAGAAATGCGAGGTCAGACCACCAAAGGGCTGGGACCCTGAACTGCTCCCTGTGGCAGGGGGACACTCGGGAGGAAGAGGACAGATGTGTAAGAGGGCCGCCTATCTTCTCACGGCGGCAGTGTGCAGCTCCTCACAAAGGGATTTTCCCACCTCCGAGGCTCTGGGTCCACCAGGAACTGAGGACCCCAGCGCCCACTCTGCAGCTGCCACTGACCTTTGTCCTGCACCAGCACCTCTAGCTCCTCCCGGATCCCGTCGTACCAGCTCGTGAGGTCCACATGGAGGGAGTAGTCACAGCAGGACTTGGTGTCTGCTGCTTCGTGCCACTTCTCAAAGGAGGTGAGCAAGCTGGAGCCAGGCTCAGGAACCACATGGTCGACTGAGAGAGAAACCTGTGTCAGGGAGCTTACGAAGGGCCCGCATTGTGCCATCAGTGTCCCCACTGACATCCCCACCATCACCACCGCCACCACCACCCTCATCACCATGACCACCACCATCATCATCACCATCACCATCACCACCGTCACCACCATCACCACCACCACCACCACCACCACCATCACCACCACCATCACCATCACCACCATCACCACCACCATCACCACCATCATCACCATCACCATCCACCACCACCATCACCATCACCACCATCACCACCACCATCACCATCATCATCACCATCATCACCATCACCATCACCGTCACCACCATCACCATCACCACCACCATCACCACCGTCACCATCACCACCGTCACCACCACCATCATCACCATCACCGCCATCACCGTCACCGCCATCACCGTCACCATTACCACCACCATCACCATCACCATCACCATCACCACCACCATCACCACCAGCCCCCAGCCCTGCTGTCCTCCCCTCACCACCCACACCTCCATCAGCAGTGGCATCTGTGCCAGCATCTTCGGGCTTCAACAACCCAACCATGAGCACTGCCCGTCCTCATCACAAGGACACACGGAGTGCGTCCCGCGTCCCGCAGGTGAGAGCTCGGGGCTCAGTGACCTCGCTCAGCCCTCAGCCCTCCCACGCAGTGAGTATGCACAACCCAGGGCTACAGATGGACAGCTGGGGCTCAGAGGGAGCCAGGAATCCGTCCAGGGGAGACCGTCAGACCTAAATGATGGCCCAGTTCTTGTGCCAACCCGGACACAGAATGCCACAGCAGAGAGAAGCTCGGAGACCAGGAAAAGCAACCGCATCTCCTCTATTTCCAACAAAATCTAAACTGTAAAGCTGATCCTGAAGGGAACCTCCTGGCCTCGCCTGCCCTCTGGTTACTGCCTGTTTTGCTTGTGCTGCCTCCCCTGTCAGGCATCCATAACAACTTCCAGACAGTGGGCTCTGCTTTCCTCTTCCCGCTCATCTCCTCCATTCATCCACAGCATCGGCCTTTGGTAACTAGACCTTCCGGTCTGCAGGTCTGTCGGAAGGGGCCAATCCTCACTCAGCTTGCACCTGGAGGCAGTGAATCACTCCTCACTCCTTTCTACTTGCTTTACTCCAGCTTCTGAAGCAGCACATCCTTCTGGCTTTTTGTCCTACTTTTTGGGGGTTCCTCTTTGTCCCCCACGAATTCCTCTAACTGCCATTAAAGGAGCCCAGGAGCCCTGGCCCCAGAACTTCCCTGTCTCTTTCCCTCCCATAGTACACTGCAAGCCCACCCACCCGCCGGGAGGACAGCACAGCCCATCAGCCATAGGCAGGGGCGCACCCCAAGGCACCCCAAATCACCCTGTCCCAGGACCTGTCTGCTGACCCCCATGGCCGGCCACCCCAGGCAGCTGATCTATGCCACCACCACTCCATCGGCCCAGCCACATCTGATCAGAGCCTCTCTATTCTGTCCTCTGTAAAACCCATCAGGGAGCTGGGCGTGGTGGTGTGTGCCTGTAATCCTAGCTACTCAGGAGGCTGAGGCAGGAGGACCCCAAGTTTGAGCCCAGCCTGAGCAATTTAGCAAAACCCTGTCTCAAAATTAAATTAAATTAAAAAGGGCTGGAATGTAGTTCCATGGCCTTAGTGTGTATGAGGCCCTGGGTCCAATCCTCAGCACCGAAAAAAAAAAAAAAGAGAGAGAGAGAGAGAGAGAGAGAGAATTGTTCCCACTTCCTGCTTCTGCTTAGAACCCTTCGGATTTCCACTGCCCTCATGAGCAACAGCAAGTCCGTCCCCGGGCCTGTGAGGCCCAGTGCTGTCCCTCCTTTCCGGTCTTACAGTGAGCCCTCAGTGCTGTACCCCTCCCCATCAAGGCGGTCTCCACCCCGACTGCGGGGTACATTCAGTGGGGCCCTGTGCACCACTTCCCTCCCCCGGGCTGTGCTCTCCGCTGCCCCGCGTCCCGCACACAGTGCTCCTTGGGGAGACTCCTGTGCTCCGGGGCCCTGGCCACGGTTCGCAGCGCACATGTGACTGAGCAGTGACTCCTGAGACTCTGTTCAGCCCCAAACCCAGCAGCAGCTTGGCGACTGGGTCCAGATGGCTGGGGGCAGAGGGTGGGGACTCAGAGCCGTCCTGCCCAGGTGGTGAGTCCTCGCCATGACCACATACGCTCTCCTCTCCGCTGCCCTCCCTCACCTTCTCAGATGGAGGCCTGAGAAACTCCCTTCACGGTGGGAAGGATGAGGTTCCGGTCAGGGCTCCCCGGGCCTCCTGGCTGGGATGGGGAGACAGCAAGGGGGAGCCTGGGGGTCCTGGCTCATCCTCCCCTCCTCTCCCCACACCCATGCACTGGGCCCTGCACCAGGGAAATGGGGGGCAAAGCCCGAGCTACAGGTGAGGAAAGAAAGGCCTGGACTCTGGGACAAACCTGGCAGCAGAGTCCAAGCCAGCCTGGTCCAAGGCTGAGTTCTTCCAGATTTCCCAGACTGCCACTAGAAAAGGGATCAGGACTTGGCTGCCCAGAGGGAAGCCAAGCCGTACCCTCCTGCCTCGGGGGCAGCTTGGGCACCCGGCTCTGCCTGGGGCAGCTGGATCTGGTGCGGGGGCTGCCAAGAGGACACATGGGGGACAGAGACAGGCAGAGCTGGGCCAGCTCATAACTCGGCTGCTAGGAATCACAAAGCCTCGCAGTTGAAAGAACATTTACAACCAACTGACGTCTGTTTTAAGTAAAGTCACTTATTAAATTAGAAACCAAGCAGAAGCAACTATTCAAGCAGTACAGAACAGCATTCTCCAGCTTTCCCCTTGCTGGGACAGAATCCCAACACACCTGCAACTTAAGGCGGAGGAGGGGTTCGCTGTCGCCTATAGCTCAGGACTGGTTCAGGGGTCTGCGGCTCCAAGGCAGGAGCGCTGTGGCGGAGGGTGTGGCGAAGGAGACTGGGCACCTCATGGCAGACAGGAAGCAGAGAGAGGTAGGACCAGGGACAAGGATTCACCCTTCCAGGTCACGGCCCAGGGGTAAGTACAGCGTCCCCACAATCCAGTCACCTTTCCAAAGCCTCCCCTCTGGACACGGGAGTCTTGGGGGCACATTCTAGATTCAAATCACAACAAGAGCCTTTGGGCTGCCCAGGGCCATGTGCAAGAGCAGAGCCACCTGCAGCCCCCTCCGCCCCACCCACACTTGAGTAAGAAAACAAGTATTGCTTGAGATTGGGGCCACCAGGGTTGGGACAGGACCTGCTTATGTCTCCAAGCGGTCGGGTAGCAGAGGCTGGGTTCTTCCTCAGTGTAGGAGGTGGGGAGGTGGTGGGACCATCAGGAGGAGGAGCCCAGCGGAAGTCACAGCCCTCGGAAGGGACTGAGAGCAGGATGGGCCCCTCCCCACTGTGAGCACTCCCTCTGCCATGCTCCCATCACGGTGCTGGCTGCCACGCTGCCACTCAGCCAACGGGGTCCTCACCAGAGGCTGAATGAAGGGGTGCCTGGTCTTGGACTTTCAGCCCCCAAAACTGTGAGCTAAACCTTTTCCTTTAAATAGGCAAAATCACCAAGCCACAGGTAATTTGTCATAGCAATGGAAACCAGAATAGAAGGGCTGTTTGTTATGCAGCATTACCAAAGCAGTGCTGACCTACATGACCACCACTGCAACCTTGGACAAGTTACTTCAACACTCTGAGCCTCTGTCGCCCCCATCTGTCATCATATCTATGTCACTATTTCCAAAAGTTGAGTTATCTTCACACTTTCAGGCGTTTGTTTTGTTTTCATTTTATCTCCCTATAATCCAGATCATTCTTTACACAAAACTTTTAAACTTACCCAGTGACTTTTCTTTGTGGTTTTTTGAGACAGGGTCTCCGTATAGTTCAGCGTTCAGGCTGGCTTTGAATGTACTATGTAGCCCAGCTGGCTATGAACTCACCGTGATTCTCCTGCCTCAGCCTTCCACGTACTAGGATTATAGGCATGTGACACTACAGCTGGCTATTACATGACTAAGAATCTAAGAATCTAAACACTAACTGTAATCTCATCATAAGCAACAACAATACCCATGACACGCTAGTTATTTTACTTCAGTACACATTAAAGCGGTTTAAATTTTAGGTCTGTGTGCCTATAAAACCCCCTTGTACATGCCCAGAGGCACTCGTAACACCCTAGCTGAATGGGGCCCTGAGCAGAGTGCCCAGAGTACGGGCAGGTGCAGTGTGCAGGCCGCACTGCTGGCCAGGAGGGTGGCACACTCACTGATCATTGTGGTCCCGCCCGCCAGCGCTGCCCGGGTCCCCTGGAAGAAGTCGTCGGCGGCTGTCATCCCCTGGCAGGGCTTCTGTAGGTATGTGTTGGCGTCAATGCCCCCGGGCATGACCATGCGCCCATTGGCCTCGATGGTCTTCACCCCACCGGGGACGATCAGGTTCTCTCCGATTTGTCTGGAGAAAAACAGAGAGGCCTTTGGTTCTTAAAAGAAGTGAAAGAGGCATAGGTGGGCGATTTAGGGCCACCTAAGAAACACCTGAGCCGGCCCCACATGGCGCAGTGTGGACAGAGGACAGTGCCCACCCTGGGTCTAGGGCAAGCAGATCGTGAGGATGGCAAGGCGGGGTCTGGCGGTGGCGGCCAGCCCCCCCACCATGCGGCACAGGGACTTCACCCACCTTTGGTAACATCCCTGGGACTGGGATTCAGTCCCTGAGCAAGACAGTGAAAAGTCCCCTCAGCTCTTGGGCTCTCACAGGGTGAGGGTTTAGGTCTCTAGGGTCCCCCAAGTCCTGTGTGCTCAGAGGTGGGGCTCTGGAAAGGGACAGATGATGAGGCGCTGTGCTCACTGGTGGATGCGTCATGGATGGGCTCAGGGCTGACTGCTGTAGGCGCCACTGGGGTGTGACCAGCAGGGATGGTCCTTGTCCCAGGCTCCTTCCTCTCTCTCTGCCTCCTGGCTGCCGTGATGTGATCAGCTCCCTCCAGCACGCCCCGCTTCCGCCATGCTCTTTCTACTTTAGAACCAGCTAGCCAGGGACTGAATGCCCTGAATCCTCCCTGAGCCAAATACACCTGTCCTTTATATTCCAGATGTCAGATGTTTTCTCAGTGATGAGAAAGTGACTAAGACACAGACACACTGCTACTGCTGAACTGCATGACCTCGAAATTTAGACGGTGAACCCTGAGCCCCCAGTAACTCGGAAACTAACTGTATTTAGAGACAAAATCGTCACAGCAGCTATAAAGGAAAAAGGAGGCCCCCAGGATGGGCCCTAAGCCACTCTAACTGGAGTCCTAGTAAGAAGAGTAGTTGGGGTACAGACACAGCAGAGAGGCAGTGCATGGGAGGTCAGAAAAGAAGACACCACCTTCGCATCGCAGAGAGACCAGGGATTCACACTACCCACAGCTTCTGTTACAGGCCGACCTCCGCATCAGAAGACATACATTTCTGCTTTTGAGCCCGGGGCTGTGATTACAAAAGCATGAGCAAGCCAGAGGGGCCCCAGACAGGCCCTAGGTTCTCATTTCCACCAAACACCCCACGCTGTGGCCTCAGGAAAGCCACCAACACCATGAACTCTGCATGGGAGACGGGCCGGCTAAGCAAAGGCTTCTAAACAATGGACTTCCATTCCCTGCTGCAATGGTCCACAGACCACCTCCAGGGCAGGGAGAAATTCCAAGCAGGCCTGGGGGTCAGAAAACCTAAGCATTAGGAGCCTGGCTGTTGTGGTCCACTCAGGGGACTTCTCCAACGATGACCGGTGACCTCCTAATGTCACCCCCTGGCTGAGACCACTACACCTGAGTATGAGCAATTTTTATTTGAAAAAAAGAAATCCAGATGTTCTGAGCTCTTAGGGATTAGACCACATCTTGATTTCTCTAAGTCACTTAAAATCCGAGTAATAAAGACTTACGAAGATGTTGCTTCAGTGACCAAAAGTCAGGCCTCAAACAGAGCCCATCCCAGGACACAGACACCCCAGCTCCAGGACTGCTGGGCAGGGCTGAAGGGGGCCCCAGAACACATGGCCAAGGCTCTGTGAGGAAGCCAAGTGCCCCCATTTCTCCTGCTCCCCTCACCGCAACCCCAGGAGTGGCAGCCAGTGAGGAGGGAGGGTGTATCTCAGGGGGATGCACTGAAGTCATTTCCAAAATAAAGTGGGGCCTCATCTGCACCCCACGGCCCCACCATGACAGGTGCACCCAAGGTGGCCCAGATCGCTGGCGAGCCTGGGGGACCCTCTCCACTCGTGCGACCCCGATCTGCATCCCAGACTCAGGAACGCTATCGGCCAGGAGCCGAGACTGACGTCTTGAGGTCCGCTCCCCACAACCCACTTGATAAGCCCGTCTTCCAAGTAGACGTCAGCGTGGAAGGACTGGTCATCGTTGATGATTCGTCCCCCTTTGATGAGCAACCGGTCACTCTGAAAAGCAAAGCAAAGTGTTCAGTGTCACTAGGGAGAAACCAGCAGGGCTTTTTTACCTTTTAGCTTTCAATACAAAAATTCTCACAAGTACAGAAGGGGAACTGGCAACCCCACGGGTCCATCCCAAGTGCAGGGGGATTTCTATCCCCCTCAAATCCCAAACATCACATCGCCCATCACAGAGGCTTCTGTATTTATCTCTAACCACTAAGGACTTTTCAAATAAGCAAAAGCACAACCTATGACTCAAGGAACAAAGTGAACATTAATTCCTTCATCTCAGCCCATAATCAGACCAAGCTTGGCTTGGCTCGATTGTCCCAGAATGTCTTTCTGCGTCCGTCTGCTTTGAAGCAGGGTGCACGCCAAGTGCGCTCTGCCGGCCCTCGCTGCCCCGGGGCCCCTCCCTTCTGAAGGAAGAAACTGGGTCATTTGTAGAGCAGGAATTTCTTTAAACACGATCATGGTCAACACGGAGACAATGGAAAGGCTAAAAATAACTACTCCGGCACACAGGCTCCAGTGACACCTGAGGGTTTCATCTCTTCCCTCTCTGGCTGTAGGACATCCATCCATCCATCTGCTCACCCACACACAGGCCATCGGCACCCAGAGGAAGGAGAACAGCTGGCCTCTGCTCCCTCAGGCTGGCCGACAGGAGGAAGATGTTTAACCAGGGTTGGCTTGTGGGGCTGTGGGAGGATGCTGGGGCAAGGGGAGCAGCTGCCAGCCTCACCTTCGGGGTCAGTCAGGGCCAGCTCAGACTTAGAAAGGAACTGGGAGCGGCTGGACAGACCAGGGGCTGCAAAGGCAGAGGGTCAGAGGGTGCGGGCCAGTGTTCCGGGTGGACAGAAGGTGTGCAGGGCCCAGACAATCCCAGAACACAGAGAACTCAGCCCTGCCCGTTTCGCATTTCCCATAAGCAAGTCGCAAGCCAGGGCATGTTCTTCACAACCATAGTTTTCTACCTGGTTACAAAATACTCCATCCCATGGATGCACAGAAGTTGTTTAACTATAGGCCCCCGGGGGGACACTCGAGTTTTCTTTATGTTTTCATTGTGATATATTCCTGCTTCAGTGAACACCCTTATGCACCAAACTTTCTTAGTCTAGATGATATGCCAGGCAAACTTCTCAGAAGCTAACGGAAGAAGTGGGTCAAACAGCACAAACTTTTTTTGTTGTTGTTGTTTTTGAGACAGGGTCTCGCTATGTAGTTGAGACTGCCCGGGAACTCACTATGGAGCCCAGACTGGTCTGGAACTCACAGCGATCCTCCTGCCTCAGCCTCCCGAGTGCTGGGATTACAGGTGTGCACCACCACGCCCAGCAGCACAAACCTTATTTACAGCCCTTGCTAAATATGACCAAGCTGCTTTCCAAAGGGATTGCCACACTCTGGAAGCATCCTGCTTACCATACATGTTTATTCATGCACTTGGTGGGGGCTGAGAATTTACCGTCCTCATTACCAAGTGGCTCTCAGCAGCGTCCCTAAGGCAGGGGTGTCAGCAGATAGTAGTAAGGATACAATGTATCCTACAGATACTATCCTACAGATAGTAGTAAGGATACAATGCAGCCCTGAGGCTGTGGTGTGGCTGGGGAGGGGATCGCAGGGTGTCATACAGAGAAAGGCAGGCAGGAAGTCCAATAAAGGCTGTGTGTGGATCCGGCTCAAATGGGGGCAGCTGGGGCTTGATCTCCTAGGAGCCCCGAGGAACTACAGAAAAAGCACCCCAGATGGGTCCCTTGGCATCTGCCACGAGAGGAAGGCAGAGGATGCTCAGCGAGCTTGGAGAACTGAAGAATCGGGGGAATTTCTGAGCAGAAGTGGATCACGCCACCAGCACCTAGAAGCCCTCAGCAGGTTCTTGTGTCTGTGTTGTGCTTCCCTCGGTGCGGAGGCCAAGGCCAGCAAGACCCAGTCCACCCAGAATCCCCTCCCCTGGCAACAGCTCTGCTCAGTGTCACTTATCTGAGAGCCCTGTCCTATTGGCAATGCCATATACTGCTGCTAGTCAGCAGATCCCACACCCCCTACCTACTTCCTTGCTCTCACCACGGTAAGCTGGCAGACTGTGCATCTACACACGCCCTGGGTTCCAAGCTTTGATGCGAGGCACAGCCGCACAAGGGACCACCTTGGTATAAACTGAAGTAGGCGAGAGCTTGCCTGCAGACGCCGTACTCGACTGTTGGCTCTGTGGGGGCAGGCCCTTGGGGTGTCTCTGCACCACTGCATCTCCAGTATCTTGAACCCAGCTTGGTCAGAGGGACAGAGGGATAGCTGGCTGGCTGGATGGATGGATGGATGGATGGACACCACGGACAGACGGACGGCTGCGTGGATGGGTAGATGACAGATGCGTACTATGGGCGGATGGATGGATGATGGATGACGGGTGGGCAGGTGGGTGGAGAGATGCCTGAACTTGAAAGACAAATAGGTAAAGATGGACAGAAAAGGCTTCACAGCTGTAAGCTATGACAGAGAAATACAGAACAGCACCTTCTGCTTTCTGCAAGGAGGGTCTGAAGATCAGCCTCTCTCAGGCTCAAATTTGCCCTGTAACCCTAAGACAGAAGCCAGCCACAGGGTGTGCATCCCCAGGGGGGAGGCCCACCAAGTTCTCCGGAAACTATTCCAGGAGCCAGGGAAAGAGGCCTGGACTCTGCCTGTCCAGGAAGCACAGACAGGCTGGAGCAGAAAGCAGGAAAACATGAATCAGCGGCAGCTGGCACAGGATTCCAAAGCCCGGCTCCCCGCTGGCAGCAGCATGGCCTTGTCACATTTACTAGCTTTTCTGGCTCCCACTGATGAGGGGCGTTGTAGGGCACCATGCTCCAGGAGAGGAGCCCCTGCCTGCTCTGCACTTCCTCAATGGCACGGCTTGGTTCAAATCTACGGGTCCAGGCTCTCAGAGTGTCTCAGGTGCCGGTATAGTTCTGAAAAAAAAAAAACTAAATCCATAATAAAGCAAGAGCTGATGTGACTTCTTCATTTTCTTTCTTGAAACTAACTGTCCCTTTGCCTTTTAATCAGGATTTCCAAAACCATGTCCTGCAGAACTTGAGCTCAGGGGCTCTTCATCCCAGGATGGGGTCCCCAGGTGCAGAACTGAAAAGATGCTGCCTTAAGAGAAATAAAGCTGATCGGGGATCGCCCTTCCCTCTATCGCATGCAACGTGCAGCAAAGCATCCGCAGAGGGACCGAGTTCCGGCTTCCCCAAAGCAGCTCCTTCCATGGAGTGGATCCTTGCCCCAGCAGACACTGGAGGACAGGTGTCTATGGGTCCTTGGTGACCACTGCCTGCCCTGAACAGTCTGTAGGGACGCTGGACTTGGTCTGACCTCGGATGGAAACCGTGTTGGGAAATAGGTGTGGCCTCCAATTTCATGCAAGTAACCAGTGTGCAGATCAGACTAGGTTTCCAAACTTCCTGCCCAGGCGTGTGGGCCCCCAGCCATGCACTGTGGCATTTGTAAACATTTCCATGCTCCAGAATCCATGTCAGCCACAACAGGTAGAGGACAGGGACACCCCAAGGCCTAGCCCAAAGACCTCACATTCCAAGGTTCCTCTCGTCCTGTGCAAAACCTCATAGAACTGCACAGCAGAAGGGTGAATTTTACTATACTCATATATAAAATATGCGCTTTATATACATTTTAAAATTCTAAATGAAATTTGCAACAATGGCATCACTGTTCACTGTGCAGCGTAAACAGCAGATATGAACAAAGGCACAGCTTTGTTCAGAAATCACTATTTATAGGCTCTGAAGAAAATAACCTCTCTCGTGAAAAATTCAATGAAAATCTAGCAGCTGAGTCTGATCGTATGCCAGAAGCAGCCAGCTCATCCCACAGTGACAGCGGGGACCCAACTGCATCATGCCTGGCGTGGCTTGCGTCCTGGGATCAGTAACGGGTAGGAGCAGACCTTCCTTCGGACAGCAGGAGGCTACAATACGATCTCCACCCTACTATGTACAAATGTGATTTAACTACCCCAGGCCTCAGCTTCCCCAGCTGTGTAAAGGAATAATTAGCCAGGAGCGCTGGCATATGCCCGTCATCCCAGCACTCTGGGAGGCTGAGGCAGGAGGAATGTAATTCTGAGCACAGACACCTTGTGCAACTTAAACAACCTAGCAAGCCCTTCTCTCAGAGTAGAAAATAAAAGAGGACTGGGAACACGGCTCAGTGCAAAGGCCCCGGTTGCACATGTATGTGTGTAAAGCATTGCACATGGCTTGGCAGGTGTGTGCCTGCTGCCTCCCTGCCACCTCCTGGGATTAGAGCTGCACTTCAGAAACAAGTGCTTCAGGAACGGCTGTGTGCAGCCATGAAAAGCAGCCCCAGTCCTGGGCCAGCAGCGGGCGGAAGATCACCAGGCCTTTGCGCCTCTGTGGGACAACGGCGACAGGGACATGGAGAGGCCCACGGGGCACAGACATGGTTCCACTCCCCTCCCCGGGAAACACACGTGCTGTGTGTGAAGGACACCTAGGAATGAGCCACATGGTGAAGGCGGAAGGAGGAGCCTGGCATGCGCGGTAGCTGCAGGTGGCTTCCGTCCCCTGGCCCTGAGCCATCCACAGACACCAAGGTCTGCAGCAGCTCAGACCCCAATGGCAAAGGTGTAGTATTGACATCTGATGCACACCCACCTGGACTTTTAAGCCATCCCTAGGTAATGTATAAGCTTCAGCGAATACACGCGACCCGACAGTGCCACGCCGTCTGTTGAGGCGATGATCGGCAAGGAAAAGGTCTGCCCAACTCAGGGAAAACCCTCCCCAATGCTTTCAGTCTGTGGCGAATCTACAGGTGTTGAACCCACAGACACAAGGGTTGTCTCTGCAACCTCCCAGTGGGGACCCCAGGGAAGCCTGCAGGCATCAGCAGAGGAGACAACAGGGCTCTCCTCCTCCAGGAAGAGCTCAAACACAGAAACATCTCAGGACTGATCGCCTTTGTACTCCCTT